CTCAAGATTTCCAAAAAGTTTGGGAGCTAAGTTCCACTGCTTGAGCTGTACTTTACTTACAACTCATAACCATGCTAAAAATGAATCTTTAGCCAGTGATAAAGAGAGAAAATAAAATTTCACTCTCATGTGAGACAGAGAAAGGAGAAAAGGACATCCTTGTGTCCCACTGGCAGGGGTGGCCAGTGAGAGGAGTATTTAGCACTGAGACTGAGGATCCAGGCAAGCTAGAATAATTTATGGAACTGAAGACATGGAGAATTACTTGTGTGCCTGAAGGCTGCCTAGATTTTCTACTTTCACAGGTGCTCTAACAAAAAATATTAATTCTGCCTTCAAGTCTTACCTAGCCTATGTCCATAAGCCAGCACAGTGACCCCACAGGTTTCCAGCAGGCACAACTTCAGTGCAGTTTGCCATGCACCAAGCTGGAGGCCACCATTTGTCCTAGAAGGTCCCAGTGCCTGTGCTCCCTGCTCAGCAGCACCAGACTGCTGCTCTCACTGCCTGTGCATGCTTTCCCACTCCCAAGGCCAAGGAAGCTGACCGCAGCATCCAAGACAAGACAACATCAGCTCCAGTGTTCTCAACCTTTACAAAGATTTGCCTTTTAGTGTAACTTCTGGGGGAAAAAAGTGGCATGCAAAATCCCTCAGAAAGTGAGCTTCTGTGAGCAGTCCTTAGGGAGCATCCTGGAAGAGGTGGCTTTTTGGGGGTCTCTTTTCCCTGGGCAGCTGAGACACAAGCAGGAACTCGTCTAAGTGCACTCTGCAGCACCCACACAACTCCTGTGGCTTCTGGGGAAAAAGCTGGAAGACACATGAAACACTTCCAGGGCAACACAGCCTGAGATTCTAAGTTACGCTGCTCTCTAGGAGTTTGCATTTCATACAAGGTTAGATATAATCCAATTTTGATCACCCCTGCTGTGATTTGATGGTTAATCACTCTCTGTTGGGTAGCCACATGGCATTCCAAGTCTCTGAGGTTTTGCAGGAGAAATAAATAAATAAATATCCTTCCAGAGAAATGTTTCCTTCTTCCTCCCCTGTAAATTGGCCTGACCTCAGGAAAAGAGTGAACAATGCCGTTCAGCCCTGGATCAGTGACAGATGGAAGGCCCAGCCACTCAAGGACTACAAATTGACTGCCTGGTCCATCAGGAAATGGGAGATTTTCCCAACTCTTTAATTTGATAATAGTGTTTACTTCCTGGCTTAGAGGATTCTGACCTTAAAATCAAGATGCTTTTATGTATGGAAAAGCTATTGCAGGTGATTTTTAAATTCTTCTCACGTTAACTAGTTATTTCCCTCTTAACTCCTTTTATGACGAGGTGACCTGC